TGGGAGGATATGCTATAACTCTTCATACATAACAAAGTGGTTAAATCCCTGCCTTAATTAAAATACTACACTCAGCCTTCATGAAAGAACATAGACTAGCTCTTCTAATATAAATAATAACTATGGAGTAAACACAAAGCAGGTGGAAGTTAGTACAACTACACTAACTCTATTGAGCTTCACTCATTTATTCTAGGCCTGAATTTCACTTTGAATCAGCAGAAACAGAGATATATACTTTGTATTCATTTTTTCTAAAAGTAAGGGGCTGTTGGATCAGATTCCAACAGAAATTTAAGTTATAAAATGCATAATACTGCTTCTCCTCCACTAAGCAGCACCATAGCAATGTTACTGATCTTAACAATGGTTTCAAATGCTAAAGTTCTAGGAAAAATCGTACACCTGTTCTGTATTAGTTACAACATAAGCCAAGCTCATGTGGCGTGATAAATATTTTGTGATCATGAAAACGTTAAATAAGATCTTAAAAACCTCAGTGTAGGCTCTGGTCTAAAAGCTGACTCTCAAATGGCTTAGATTAGGCAATGGCTGAATCAGATGGAAGAGTTTGGCGGTAGCCCATTAAAAAGGCCTGGATGCACTTACACAAAGGAATAATCATGCTTTCAGGCTCAAGTTTTATCAATGAACTGACCAGATTCCAGGCACTGTTCCCCCGTTGCCTAGTAAAGGGGCACTCATTGAGGATTTAATCACAGTTTACGTGCCACAAAGGAGGGAACCGGAATACTTCACCACACAATGCAGATGAATAGCACATCAAAGAAAATAAAGCCATAGTTCTGCCCAAACTCATATATGTTCTCTTTTCTATCTAAAGCAGGCAAAAAGAACAGTGCTGCTCTTCTCATGGGAAATACATGTGCGGTTGGAAATAAAGGGCTTGGGTACTCTACACTGTTAAAATTGGAACCCTGCTGTTCAGAATCTAATACCTGCTTGTGAACAGGGATGAAGTGTATTATAAATTATACCCCTATCTTGAATAAAACAATTAGAAAGTGGCATGTCGTAATGATGTAACAACCCAGAGACCTGGTTTTAAATCCTTCGTCCTTGTCTTTAATAATCCAGAAATTATAGCTGTGGTGAAGGGCTCAGAACCTTAGAAATTGGAGATGGTAAAAACATTTTAGAGCATCTTTTCTCTCTCATTGCCACTGCAGAGTTGCTTCCTCCTTACATGTTATAAAGGTTCTTTTTGCAGTCTAGTTTTAAGTGAATCTAATTCCTTCTAAGGGAGATTAGTACAAACGATCAAATCTCACCATCAGACTCTTTTCATATATCCAGCTTTAATTTGTTTATTTATCCCACTGTTCCTAATTATAACCTTTTGGACTGTTCCAAACATTTCTGGATATAAGTAGGAAGGCCAATATCTGCAGGAACTAAGCCAGCACTTTTAGATTTAAAAATTAACAACAGATTGATTCCCTCTCAGGTTATTTAGAAAGGTAACCTTCTAGAGTAACACATTTCATAGGCTATGCTGTTTCAGTTATTCTGTCTTATTACAACCCTTTCAGGGCAATCAACCCTAAATGAGAATAATCCCTCTTAAAAGAACATGTTACTTAAAAAAAAAAGAGAGAGATTGTGCTAGACATTAAGACAGAAAGGTTTTAAGCATGACATTGCAGAAACTCCCTGACAGGATAGCTAGGAGACAATTTAGTGCAAATTGAGCGAATATGGGATAAATTGATCTTTGATGTACTGTAAGCAGATGCATTTCCTACTGAAAGCATAGCAGTACTGAATCTGATCCCTGTCTTACCTTTGCAAAATACTACTCACCCATCACCCTAAGTAATTTTCTTGATGGGTAAGTTAAATATGATTACAAGTTTTTGTTTTTGAATTTTTTTTGTTTGTTTTTTGCCTGAGCTGGTAAATTTCCATTACAGTTAGAAGAGTTTTCTCTATATGGATATTTAATTATTTAAAGATGAAATTCTCACTTGATTTTGTCATATCCCTTAGCAATTTCACAGGATAAGCTTTTGATCTCTCCTATTTTTATAGGTCCAAACTCTAGTGTTTACTTGAGTAAATTTCCTTCTCTGATACACATTGCATTGACTAATTTTCTATATGCTGAAAATAATCTGTTTCAAAAAGCTAGTCCCAAACTTGTAAATTAATATGTTTTAGTTAATGTTAGGCTGTCAATGGTTTACATTTCCTAGAAATAATTGTCTGCCCCCAGAATTCTGTACATCGAAATTTGAACTCTCTGCTATTCTGACTTACTTAGACTCTTGTCCTTGGCCATTACTATTTGTCTGTTTTTGTATGCATGAATCATATACAAAACTATCAAGATGTACCCATGCTATTGCATTTATAGAATACTAGCATTCCAGTGAAATTAGGGAAACTTGTGCTCGCCTTTTAAACAAACTTTAAACATTATTGATGATCCCATCTACAATCTTCAGATATGAATCAGAACTGTTCCAAAGTTTGCAGCCCATCTCTGAGATCCCACCCCCACTTACTCAACCCCTCTTCCTCCATCGCTCACTCTCTTCCCGACCCTCGTTCACTTTTATCAGGCTGGGGTAGGGGGCTAGGGTGTGGGCTCTGGGCTGGAGGTGGGGCTGAGAAGTTTGGAGTGTGTGAGAAGGCTTACAGCTGGGACAGGAGGTTGGAGTGAGGGGATGTGTGCTCTGGGACGGAGTTTTGGAGCAGAATGGGACTGAAGTCTGGGGCAGGAGGATGAAATGAAGGCTTCTGGAGGGAGTTTGGGTGCAGGAGGGAGTTCAGGGTGTAGCAGGGAATGAAAGATATGGGCTCTGACTGACTAGTACTTCTCTCTGGTGGCTGCCGGTGCCAGTGTAGACTGCTCCTTCTTGCGCAAAAGCCCCTTGCGCAAACATGATGGCTCATTAGGTATGCTCATTTGCATATTATTGCGCAAGAATGCACAATGTAGATGTAGTTTCAGTGTCTGCTGATTTCCTGTTCCAGAGACTGGATATCAATGGCCTAATTGGTACAAAGAAATGGCTGAACTGCCCAGCCTGGATCCTGGTTCTGAATCAGAGACAGTAAGGAACTTGTAACCAAAAAGAAAATCTAGTTGTGGATTTGGGGGACTGTTACCTACTTGAGCCCAAGGTTGAAGATGGAGGGGGACCTCTAATGAGCTCTTTAGCATGTATGTAGTTTAATTTATTGTTTGTAATGTGTTTTCCTCTGTAATGCTTTCACCTGGAGGATAAATGTGCTTCCTCAGAAACCATTATGCGGTAACACTTAACTGTGAGCAGCAGACTGCTCATAGGCAGTAAGACAGCAAAGCGCAGGTTTGAGACAGTCTGGCTTGCTGGGGATATCACAATGTAATTCAGGGAGACGTGTAGCCTTAAAACTCTGGTCAGAAGGGAGAGAGAGAGAGACGAGGGTTTTTCCCCCAAGGCAAGAAAGGTGATGGCTGGTAACTGGAAATCTAAAGTGGGTGCCCTTGGTGGAGCATGGAGGGGAAGCACAAGTGCTGTTGCCCTGAAACATATGTAACAACAACAACATGGGAGGCTGAGGTGGAAGTCTGTATAAGGAACACCAGTAGATGTAATGTCTAATAGCTTTTGTATAAAAGTTATACATAGTATTCCAGATTCTGATTTACAAAAATATCATGTGTGTGCATTAAATGTAGTAATTTAGTAAGAAATTGTCTGATATTCTCTCTTTGAAATTGACTATTAACACCTTCTTATCAAGATTTTACATAAAAGCTCTGAAGTTTAATTTTGGGTAATGCTTTCTAAAGAGTCCTGAAAAGAAAAAACTCTGGCCTGTGCCTCAGCAAAAAGTTATGTTGAAGTGCCAGAATTAGGAGCATGTTAGAGATGATACATAATATAGCCTTAGTATTCGCTATACATACACACTTGTATCTATAGTTCTGGTTCAGCATGGCAGAGATACACACTAGCTATGAAGTTTGCATCCAGATTTAGAACTAAACTTTTCCCAAAAATCAAGTGTATTGAATGCAGATCAAGTTCAGCATCAGATTAATAATATACTCTGCTACCACTAAACTCTGCCTTTCAGCATAGACAGAAAATCTATGTAGGAGGCCATTCCTGTCATAACAGGCTGCAACAGATTTACTGGAGAAAGGAACAGAAGATGGTGCCATTAATAGGATTGCTCTCCCCAGCTTTTTATTAGCAAGTGTATGTAGTTGGTTAACACAAGCAACACATTTAATCCCAGGTGTGCCTGCAACACCTACTACCTCTCTCTCTGTCTGCAGCAACAGTCCTGACAGCTAAAGATGACAGCAGAACTATATTTATATCCTGTCAAAGTTATTCCTTTGTCAGAGTAACTGTTGGGACACATGAGACTCCCTCTTCAGAAGTGCTAAGACTTCCACCTCCACAGGCCCACGAGCTCAAATCTACTTGCATGGCAGCAGAGACTACAGACAGGAAGGTAACATTTCTGAGCCTGGCCTATTTTCAAACAGCAGTACCCTAATCACAAAACCAAGCCTGTTCTAGTTATTTATACTTTAATTGGACACTTTCCTGAAGAGAGACACGTTAATGAGTTGGATCACCACCACAGGGAAACAGAACTTGCTTGTGGCCTTTTCTTAAAGTACCCCCCAAGTCAAGTGTGCAACTTTATATACAGCCAAACGTCTTAAAACGCACAGAGCAAAGTCTGTGGAAAGGGTAGGGGCCAGTGATTCCTCACAGCAGGCACCAAGAAGCAGTTAGGTTGTTTCAGTCACAAAGAACCGCACTACTTTACCCAAGAGGCTTGCCTGCCCCCACCAATGTACACTTTCCTCTTGAGAAAGAGGCCACAATCAGCCTGGGAAGAGCAAAAAGAAAATGGTAGAGTAGGAATGGCACCACTTGCATTCAGGGGGAACAGAGGAAAAAGGATAACTGACCATTACTTAACAAAATGGAACTTAAAAAAAAAAGTTGTTCATAAACACTCACCCAACCCCCACCCCACACAGCCAGCACAGAGAGTATGTGTCCATTGGAATGCAGATCACATCTCAGAAGCTATTGTTCTGTCCAAAAAAGAGAGCGAGAGATTCATTCATTAAAGCTGCAGCAGATGGCTGTGTGGCAGACAGAGAGCAGCATGAAGTAGGGCCACCAGCTGGCAGCAACCACACGGGCAACATTCAGTCGCAGCTGCACTTTTAATGTTCCTTTCAATCGCTCTGCATTCCTGAGAGAGATACTTAGCGGGGGATCCCTTGGTTTTAATAGGCACATTTAGGGACGGTCTAGTCAGCAAATAAGACTGAGTTTCCCCACTCCTGTTATCATAACCCCCATCAACATAGTTCAGCAAGAAGGGAGACATTAGTGTAAGGTTTCTAGTTAATTAACACAAAACCCCAATAGCTTTACCCTTTTTCCTACATCTTCTCTAAAATGTGGACAGGATGTAGCATTTTTATTCCTCACAGTATAAAATAATTCCCTTGCAGAGTAGACTGGTTTAAAGAAACAATTATCCACAACCATGATTTCAAGTAACCTGTGCATTCAAAACTGGTATATCTCTCTTTGTGCTCAAGACCTCTAGCACAACCTGGGATTTCTCATGTTGGTTTCATCGTTTTTGCTCTTCCTGGAACTTCCCACTACTGTGAGATGAAACTGATATTTCTCTTAGCTGCACTAAGAAAGCAGCTGGGAATTACCAGGCCAACTGACAGGAACAGAAAATATTATATCTATAGCTCTCGAACTGCTTTGCAAGAGAAAGTTTCTTTTTGCCCTGGCTGGCAATACGAGCCCTACCTACATTCTGCTATTGCAACAGATGTACAGCAATGAGAGAACAAAAAATTCTCAGGACTTCTGCAGGAATATGAGATTCCTGGGATATTCTGAATATTACAGAACATATATAGTCTTATTGACGAGTTCATGACAAGCACAACTATTGTACCTAGAGTGGTCACAACATCTTTGATTGAATGAAATTTTGGTGAAACATTTTTTTCATATCAAAGCCCAAAAACATTTTGCAAAGATGTATCCAATTCAGTGTTGGTTTAACTGGGAATGTGGGTTGGGGTTTTGGTGAGGAGTGGCTTTGAGAATTTCCTCTCCATTCAAGTCTTTGCTCTGCCTAATTCAGAGTGATCTGGGATACAAAATACTTACTCTGAATCAGAGAGGGCCTTAAACTTACTTGTCCACTATCCCCTACACTACAGAAACATTCCCTGACTAGTGTTTCCTGTAAGCTGTGCACTTGTGCAGATGCTCAGGAGAGATTTCAACTTCTGCCCAGCTGATTAGCAAAGTGCCCCCAGCTAGATGTCCTTGTTTCTACTTATGGTGCACATTTGCACATGCCTCAGTGCATATACAAATTATTCTGCACATGGATGGAAAAAATCTGCACATGGATAAACAAGATTAGAGGGAACATTGTCCCCAACCTTGAATTTCTCTTTGGGCCCTTTAAGAGAGAGCCCCAGGCTATGTCTAGACTACACTGATCTATTGGGAAAAGGTATGCAAATTGTGCTCCACAATTTGTGTACCTTTTTTTGATAGTTTTTTTGGAAGAGTCTTTTCCAAAATTTGGCCCATCTACATTAGGCCAAATTCTGGAAAAGCCTCCTCTTTCAGAAGAATCCTTCTTCCTTGTGAAAGAGCGCATCTCCTCTTTCACACATAAAAAAAACAGAAGAGCAGACACGTTCCCTGGACAGGGTGGAGTTTTTCCAGGACCCCATAGCGTAGACATAGCCCCACTGTGGAGGAGGCTTCCTGAGAAAGGTAATATAGCTACAGACTTTCCCAGGTATGTAATACCCATGGGGCAGTTGAGAGGAAGAGATGTTCTCCCCCCATCATACGTCTCACCTGATCTGGGGCCACCCATTTGCCCCCCACCTCCACTTGACTGATCCCAAACTTATAGGCTGTGTCGACACTGCACCCCTTTTCCGGAAAAGGGATGCAGATTAGACACTTCGGAATTGCAAATCCGCGGGGGATTTAAATATCCCCCGCGGCATTTGCATTTACATGGCTGCCGCTTTTTTCCGGCTTGGGGATTCTCCGGAAAATAAGCCCTTTTTCGGAGGATTTCTTATTCCTACTTGAATAAGTCTAGACTGGTGTGATTCTCCGGAAAATAAGCCCTTTTCCTGAGGATTTCTTATTCCTACTTGAAAGTAGGAATAAGAAATCCTCCGAAAAAGGGCTTATTTTCCGGAGAATCGCGTCTAGACTGGCGCTTTTCTCCGGCTTATCCCCAAGCCGGAAAAAAGCGGCAGCCATGTAAATGCAAATGCCGCAGGGGATATTTAGATCCCCCGTGGATTTGCAATTCCGACTCGTCTCATTAGCATCCCTTTTCCAGAAAGGGATGCCAATGCAGACGTAGCCATAGAGAGCTTGGTTCAGGATCTGGGAGACAGAGAAGTGAAAGGGTAGGAAAAGTGGAAATGATGGCACCCCAGAGTTGACTGCCCCTCCTTCTGCATAGGAAATCTGCCCTGCAAGGTTCCTGCCTGTATTTGATCATGGAGGCAAGATCTGTCCATCTTACTCTAAAAGAGAGGTCTTTGATACATATTCAGTTTGAGGCTCTATTTCTCTGCAATGGTTTTGAAATTGAGTGCTCACAATTAGGAACAGTGGCAGAATGCAATCTTATTTCCTTCTTACCAGTGATGGGTCTGCAACAGAACCTTTGATCTGAAAAATGCTGAGCATTTTATAAAAGTAAAACTGGCTTCAGGTTCAAATACAGTGGCTTGGGCCTATCTTTTATATAGGAACGGCTTGCCAGATGCAGACTGGAATAAGGACAATAGGTTCATCTTGTTTGGTTATCAGACTTCATCAGGAAACGATAACACCAGACATTTTTGAGGAAAGTAAAAGCAAACTTAGTAATATAGCAAGCTAAATGTGCAGTATTTCATATACACTGGAGAAAATGTTGGCACTACCAGTGATCAGCTTATGACGTGAAGGATGACATTTAGCATACATTCTTAGTGTGCATAGCTACTGGTGTTATTGGTAGTTATAAGGCTATCCAGTTCTTAATTAAAAAACAATCAGCTATTTGACTCAGTGACCTACCATATCAATGACTTCCACTTTGTGGTAAATTATACTTTTCATCTATTGTCTATTATAATATCAAATGGAAAAAAAAGATATTATGAACAATATCTTAAGCAAGAGAGGAGAGGGAGAAAAGAGGGAAAAAAGGAGAGAGAGAAGGATGCCCATTTGGAAGAAACTAGTGATATTACAAAACTATCACCACCAACTCTGAGTTCTAATTTTAGAAAGCAGCTTCTAAAAAGAGTGGGCACAATTTTGTGTGCACAAGTTTTTCCATATACAAATACTTGGATATAAATCTGGGCCCACAAAATTGTGGGCATGTAGAATTGTTCCTAATCATTTAAAAGGTTGGGTTGAAGACTTTTTTTAAATTTGAGCCTCATAGTCTAATATGTGGGGTTTTTTTTCTTTTTTCTGAAGACTATTATTAAAACTAACACGATACTATGTTTTACACTTCTTAATGCTCCAAGAAATGCAAAGTGGACCTTAATGACCATCCCTCTTTTTTCCGCCCACCCTGAAGCTAAGAATCCGTCAAACTTATGAACAGATTTGCTATTAACCTTAACAGTGAATGGATGAAAACAGACCTGCTTTTAAAATGGACTGATAACAATAGGCTTTAACCTCCAGGGAATGTGTTCGGAAGATGATTCCCGTTCTTATTACAGAATGACTATTGGTCATCACTCTTTAGATTTATGAGGTCATAACTGTAGAGTCAATCTCTCCTGTTTCTTTCCCACTGTCCCTATCTGTGTGTAGCCACACAAACACTGAAGGCAATTTTGTTGTAATTGCTGTAATCTGTTTCCATTCTGTTATAAAGCCTAGAAGGAAAAAAAAGAACTCAGCACATCATTTTATGAACCAAGCATGTTTCCTTTCTAAGGTACGCATCCTTTCATATTTGCATGGAGAATAAACACAGAAGCATGAAAACCCCCAAAGCCCAATGTATTTTGCAATTTGTACTCACAAAAGCCCCCTTTGTCTGTATACAATACGTAGCTAGTCTCTGCCACACCCCCAAGAAGAGAAAGGACAAAAAAGGATAAAGCTAGACCAACATAGTACAAACCAAGTATATTTCATCCCTTGCTATAAGAAGAAGAAAAAACTTCTATCCTCCTATCTTTTTGGATAAAAAAGCAAAAACAAAGATGCCTAGAGGGCAGCTCTAACTAGTGTTCTGAGTAATTTACATGGATTTGTATTCTATACTATCCTTAAAAGGGATGATTAATCACTATGGTAACCACTGTATCACATGAAACACACTTGTTCTAAATACAGTGAATATAGTATACCCTCTTACTGAAACACACATGTCAAAAGGGCAACACAAACTCCTCAAGGGTTCACATTGTTGATGGGGAGAGCAATTAATCCTTTATAACAGACTTTCTTCATTTGGCCATAGGGCATTCATTCCACAGCCCACTTCCTAAAAAATTCTTGCAACTACATTTCCTGTGTAATTTGGGGGTGCAGAGGATGGAAAGGGATGTTCGATGTTCAGCAAAGAAAACTGCGAATAAATACTTGGAATTGATGATTGGTAGTTGAAAGGAAATAGAATGCATTGTATAGTTCTGTTCTCCTCTGTGCAATGACTATATTTAGTTTTACTGGGACTTTATGGCTCTTTCTAACAAACAGTTCTATCAAGCCCTATTCAGTGTGCCCCACCACTACTTTGATTATAAAATCAGCTAAAATGATTTTCATGTAACCACATGTGCACAGTAGCTAATTTAACAAGATACACAGACATAACTGCCAACCTGTTACAAATCAAAACTGAACCATAATAATTACACACACATTAGACAAAATGCATGAGAACAGCACCCTCAGCCCCAGACAATCTATTCACACGCCACAGAAGCTTATTTTTGCTTCATTCCATCTATGAGAGCATATGTGG